AACGTTTGTAAAAAAAAATATTGTCCCATCATTCACTAGTGCATCGCTTCATTACCGCGCAGTTGACACCGAGGTAATAATTTAACTTGAGTTGCGCACTCAGACTTGTAAATTCCTAACATAAGTGGTAGATACAGTTCGCGGCACAATGCGCTTGATTCACTAAACATACTGAGGGACTGGGCGTTTATTATAAGGAAGAGGGGCCGGGGAATGAATTCCAAGTCAGTCTGAAAGAAAAATGATGGCCCTTCCCCAAAACTAAGCTATGACCCCCCTTCTCAGTGACAATTAGTCGCAGTTTCGAAATCAGGAACTACTAATTTGGACTCCGTTCACTTGTTCGTTTAGAGCCATTCAAAGTTAACACAAATATCATGTACGATGACTTACATATGTACATCAGTTTTCTTTACCGTTTGATAAAATATGGCTGACTGGCTGCCATCTCAAATTTGACAAATTTACATGCTTAATTAACGTGCTAGAGGCAGTGTTGCAGAGATGAACAATGCGATAATGCTAATTGGCTTACAGGTGCATGTCATTCATATTTTATCGAACTGGGCGATTTCATTCAAAACTTGTATCTGGATTATGTATGTTGGTTTATCGGTGCACGTCATATATTTTCAACCGAAAATGGTAAACTAGCGGCCATTTTTTATTCATATCAATCACTATTACGTCACATGATTCAGTTTGCACATAGGTACTACACACATATGTTTTGTTATTTTGCGATTTAATATATTTTAAAATCACAGTCTGTAAATGCGCCCGGGGTCGGAGTTTTTAAAGATGGAGAGGTCTTAGTATCTGGATCATACATACTGCGTTAGAAGTGCAGGTCTTATTTATTTTGAGATTCAAACAAAAATAACAAACTTGCGCGATCATTTGGTTTTATGGTATCCATGCTGGTTTCTCTGTCTCCATGTGATTATAATAACCACATTTTATCAGTGTATGTATTGTCATACTGTATTGACATTTACATATGGATGGTATTGTAGATACGTGTGGCTGTACTGAGCATTTAGGTTAAAGCGGGAGAGTCGTCACCTACGCATGCGTCAGGTAGCCATAGCATGTCGTTGTTTACAAACAAGCGTCTACCCATGAGCCAACAACAACAAATAAACAAGGGACTGTATGCAAGTGTAACTTAGGTGATTCATCCCAATCTATTTTCATCACCATGCTCCTCTAACTCTTGGTCCTTCTCATCAATACCAATTTTCGTGATGACCATTCTTATTTTTGCAGTAACTTCTTCCTAACCATCTAAACCGTAAGCATGAGAATAAACGACCCTCCCTACAATCCCTCCCCCTTGGTAATAAACGCCCAGTCCCTGAATGCATATGTGTACTGACAGACAGACAAACACGTGATGCATATTAATGACATATCCAACCATCTCACTCGTGAAAGCTTCCGAGCACATACTTGCTACTTGGTAATTCTCACGATGTGGTGGCAAATAATACCGCTTCTGTTTGTAGTTATGGTGACAGTATGCAGTGGTCGTGTTGAAGTTGACCATGCAGGTAAAATATATATTAATATTTATATTTTTTTGAGAGTTTTTGTTTTTATCCAGGGTTGTGGATTTTAAGCTGAACTCCGCAGTTGGCACAGTTCAAAGTATTCTGGAATGTGCACCCGTGGTTTATATCATATTGTAAAAACACTCTGTGAAGGAAACATGATACAAGCAATGCTCGGTTAAGTACGGATCGTGGCAGAAACCATAATGTTGATGTACAAATCATATGTACATTCAATCACTGTTGGTTGATTTACATCGCGATTGCTAGAAGAAGAAAAACGAATATTTTAATGATTAGACATCTGTGTGCTTTTTCTCACGACATTGTTCCTTAAGTATAAGACTGGTATTTTTTTAATTTCGTGTAAACAATGAATTAGATTTATTTTACTGCAAAACTTGTACTATTCTGGCTTTCTTTCCCAGAGGTCAATTAGTAGGCACTATGGTAGGGAGATTTAGACAAACTATAGGATGTTATTTTTTCATTTTTTCTTGAGCTAGATTTATATTTCCAGTATTATGGCGGTGTATTTATTTTTATTTACTTTCCTCTATCAAATGTGCGTATGATTTGTGTTATTTACATGGTAGATGGAGAAATCTGCTTGCATGTATGTGAAGTCTGGTATGTTGTTTATTTTACGGTGGCGGTGCTGCCAATGACAGATACGTCCCATGGTTTATAGTATGACATGACAGATACATGCACTTACTGATTTTATCGGTGACTCTGAGCAGTTTGAGCGTTGCTGAAAATAGCATGGTGTGTTTAAACACTGCAGTCGCCCTACCTCTGGGCCAGATGATGACAAACTTTGCAACTTATGATTTGTTTTCACTTAATAATTAATATTAATAATTAATATTGAGACCCGAACTACAAACGGAAATTGTTCGAAATCATTTTAATAGTAATCAGTATAACAACAGTCACGATGTATTTTAATTGGCGACTAGAAATAAGGGTAGTCAATAAAATAATCGCTCGTTGGTCGCACCCTTCTTACGTTCGTAATTTCTTTCAATCGTGAAATAGTTAATTATGATGGGAACGGATAATCGCATATAGCGGGAGACATTTTGAAACCTCATGTAATTTCATCAGCTTACACAATGCAGCCTCTGGTTAAATTGATGGTATTTCTATGGTTTTAACCATTGTTCGATTGCTCGGTTTAGTGTCCCATCGCACTATTTCGTAACCAATCGCACTGTTTCGTGTCCCATCGCACTATTTCGTAACCAATCGCACTGTTTCGTCTAAGATCGGCATTGTCCGATTGCTCGGTTTAGTGTCCCATCTCACTATTTCGTAACCTATCGCTCTGTTTCGTCTAAGATCGGCATTGTTCGATTGCTCGGTTTAGTGTCCCATCGCA